CTCATGCCAGCTCAGCAAACTCGCCAGATCTGCCATTTTTTAATCCAAGTGCCAGAATGTGGACATTGGCCAGAATATTATATCGTGGCAGGTCGGGATAATATAGTATGGCAAATTTGATGTGATTGAACACCTTGAAAAATGAACATGTTAGGTTATGGGTGACATAGTGGGAACTTACGGTTGAAATAGTACAATATCTGACTCAAGAAAGAAACCAGCACTCCTATTTATGACATCCGAGGCAAAACCTCTGGCCTGCATCCCAGAATTTGGGTACCAGTGGAGACCAGTGGACAGAATTATATCAGCGTGACATATTTCCTAATAATAATATTGCGGATCTGGGCTGTAAAGAAATATCCCGATCGCCGACTTCAAATTCCACCAAGTCAATTGAAACTCCGATCAATCACATTAAATACCGTGATCGTTGGCAGCTGTCAGTGCTTGCCACGTCGACACCTCTTTCTTCCTTTCTTCCCACTTCCCCTACTTCGTCTGGCTCCCTGTCCCCATTATACCTCAAGACCTCAAGTTTTGTTTCAAGATCTTCAAGCTAGCCTTTCAATTCTCTATCTGCTCTCTATCTGCAAGTCTCTCAAGGCTGCAAGCATTCCACGTGACCCCGCATTCTGTGCCGACTTCTTGGGCCTCTTTGTCTGTGCAACCGCTGCCTGTGATTATCTTGTACTCATGCTCCTTGTCTGCGCCTCATGCTGTGCTTCCCATTCTGGTAATCATCAAGCACGATTCGGAGTGGGAACAGTTGTGTACACTGGTGAGTGCATTGCCTCATTGACGTACAGATTCCTGATGGCACCTGTTCCTGTTCCATCTAGCTTTGCCTGGAAGCCGCAAGCTGGAGCGGGCCTTCACACTGTTCCCTGGGCCGAGTGTGCCGGTCCGGACCCCCGTTCTCTTGTCATCATCTCAGATGATGAGGTGAGTTTATCCCTTCCTTAGTTTCGATTGTTTCTAATGGTGTCGTAAGTTCCTTAGTAAATAGCCACTGGTAGCCACCGCTGTAGTATATACTAGTTCACTTGTTTCACACTCTGTGGGGTGTAAATGAATGCTATTATTGTCCTATTTCATCGTAATGCGTGATTATATGGGTACATGACCACAATATGGTAGAGCCGTATATACTGGCAGTGATCCTGGCAGAGATTCTGGCCAAGATTCTGGTACCAGAAAAAAAACTGGCGAAGATGGCTGCCAGAATATATTCTGGCATAGGCTATCTTTATATGCTGCCAGCTCACATTCTGGCATGTTGGAAGTGTTGGCAGAGTTGGCACCAGCTCTGCCAGATGAAAAACATTTTCCTGATGCTGTGACACTGTAACTCACTGCTTCCGTCTTGCCACCATGTCGAGAGCGCTTTCCTCTGCAGTTTTTCTATTCCCTTAAAGGCAGTAATCACCTCGTTTCACTGCCCGAAATCAACTGGTGATCTTGGCTTCAATCGATTGGAAGTTCGCCAACCCCAAGCGGGACAAAAATTAAATACAAATGCGTAAAGATTCGAGACATCCACATACCCCACTTGGTTCGCACCGGAACGACAACCAATCGCACCTCAAGATATCTCAAGATTCAACTGCAATTCTATCTACCAGAAGATTCCTCCCGGACATGGGTGATCGACTTCACACCTTCAGCTCGGAGTATATACGAGAAGGGTGGGAGTGGGACTCGCCTAATTAAGCGAGTCCCACTAATGATCAGCGCGCCGGCGCAGGCCATCAACATATCATCAATCGGCGATTCTCGGCATTTATGCTGGGGGAAGGCTCCCCCAGGCCCCACCGGTTCGCTAGCACTGCCTTGACCGCTGGCGCTGGCCCTTTCCGCTGGTGCGGGGCCTTTTTATTTTTATTTTATTATATTTTTTTACCGTTAAATCTCTATTTTTGGTTAACATCTTATGCGGGGGAGACCCCCGCGGACCCCCCTTAACGCTCGCTGTTAGGCCCGCTGCACAGAGCATTTTCGCTCGCTGCTGGGCCTGCTGTGTAGAGCTTTACACTCGCCGCGAGGCCCACTGCGTGGTGCCGGCCGATGAACGGGGTTTAAATGCAATTGATTGAATGATGGACATCTCCCATTCTTGACGTCGAGTCCCACTAACGGTGAATTAAGTGCCGCTAGCCGAAGTTAGGCGAGCCTTAGCTGAGTCCCACTAACAGCGAGTCCCACTCTTCTTGTCGATGCTCTTCAGCTCGTGCTTTCTTCCATCTACTACCAGGGCACATACAATGGAAATTCATGCCCAGTAACTGTTGGTTTCGTGAGTATGTCACATTCCAAATCTCATTGAGCAAGCATTTATCAATTGTTCAGTTCATAGGAGAATATGTAGTGAGCTGCTATTTCAGCCTTCAGGGCGTCCTGTAGGTTCAAGTGCGCCCATTGTACCATTCACTGAGCCCATATTTTAACAGCCTGCGTGCAGTTCGTGAAGTACCCCATTCAAAGGCATTTTTGGGGATCCTCACTTTAATGACCTATGTGAGGTCCATAAGCCATCCACGTCACGATATACTCTGAAGAAACTCATATTCTAATGAGATGCTCCAATTTGCGACATTAGCGCCTTTCTGTGGTTCAAGTTCATTATCCACTTTGGCGCTGCATCCCGTTTTCAGGGCCACTTTGTGATCAGTCCTTCCTTTATGTGATTTCTTCTCTCGCATGGTTATTGCAGGTTGACAGGCATCCACAATTGATTTATATGTCCAAGCCTCTTCCTTTGATGTCAAAGAATCATGCGGCATCTGGTCTGTCTCCAATATCCCACGTATCCCATCCGACTTGCTGACAGTTGTCCTGTTCAGTGCCTTACTCAACTTTCTCGTGAACATCACCTTCCCAGACGACTTTCTGGATCACATCGGGTGGCATGAACATGGTGCTGCCCAAGCTCTATGTGTTCTCTATGATGTGGACCCTCAGCACGTGGGCTGATGTCCGCGCGACACACCTTCCAACCCAAATCGTCAACATCACCAGGTTCTGTTTCTCCAATCCTGAGCATCGGGCAGTAATACAGTACTCTATCAGTACTCTATCTTACTCAAGCTCCAGAGCTCCATCACTGACCCCACTGAATCCAGGGCAACACTGAGCAGGGCCTATATCACAGCTGAGGAGGTCGGGGAATTTTCTTTGACTTGATAGCGTCTGTCTAATGGGCCGACTTTGTATGTAGGTATTGAAGCCATGCCAGCAGAGAAATACACATGCTTTTCTATAGTGAGGGGCGATGCCGCGATGATGACAGAGGAGAGCAATGTGGAGGAGCATTCAGAGGAAATGGTGTTTGCACCATGTGGGTGCAGCATCTCAATGAGCGAACGAACAAGTTCAGCCCATTAATATTGCACTCTTCATTGGTCAGTGTACAAATTCCGAGATGAGGAAATTATGAATACTTATGTAAGTAAATAATTGTCCATTTTACAAACCGATATGAGGATTTCGCAACCTCTCTCATTCCTTGTTCCATTTTTTGTGCCTGATAAAATAGTGGCTGTGTTGAAGGCTTTTTAAAAACTTTCACTACAATTTTTGTGATATATTAGTGGCGGTACCCCCCCATTGGAGGTCACCGGTTCGACTCCTCTCATCTGCATTTCTTTTAACTCCTTTCCCCTTTCTCCTTATTACTCATATTCATTCTCTTCTTCATATATCTGATATCAGTTTTGTTTTTAGCCAACTATATAACTGCACCCAATGCAAACTGACACCCAAAAATGTGTTCAGAGTGCTGGAGAGGGAGTTTGACGTGTAAAGTCACATGTGACATCACACATCAAATCTTGCGCATATTGCCTGATTTCGGGCTCTATTGTCTCAGAGCACGTAGATTTAAGTCTGGAAACCAGGTACATGTAGTCAGCTCCTGAATAGATGTCCCATTCATCTTGTTTCATCCTCATACCTTATCGACACAGAATCATCATCTTGGACAGGAAGTTCATCATATTCCATGGTTGGGTTCTCACCATTGCTTCCCTCCAGTGCCTCCCCATTGGCACTCCTCGACAACAACTATGCACTAGCAGAATATGCAGTAAAATGCCAGGAGCAGATGGTGGCTGACTTTGCTTCCAAGGAGCTCATGGATGGCCAGAATGGGTGGCTGCATGAGGAGTTGTTTGCCAAGAAGAATAGGCTGGCCAAACAGCGGGTCAGGGGAGCTGGTGCACAGCATATGACATAGGAGGAGACCCTAGGGGAGCTGGCATTCATCAATTAGAAGGCAGCAATTGCCCTCATGCATGCTGAGTTCCAGGGAGACTGCTTCAAAGCTGCGAAGGCCGCATACGACAATACTTGGAAGGCAATTCTTGATGGCCAGAAGCAGGCAGAAAAAGAGACTTCTGATGCACAGAAGGCCATTGAGCATGAGGCATAAACAGCCGAGGTTAATCACTAATGGATGTGTCAATAATGCATTGCCCCACTAGTTACTGAAAGATGTATTTCATTACTTTCAGGTACTTACTGGCAGTAGCTTAAGTGTGTAATGCATTACCCTGGTGAGAAGGTATTAGAAAAGAATGGCACTAGAGAGGTTCGAACACAAAAACCTTATATGATGGCAAAATAATAAAAGTACCAATTGAGCCAAAGAGGAATTTAAAAAAAAATAATACAATTGAGATAGGGTCTGCTCTGTGTTACACTTAATTGGTTAGTACCCACCCATATGGCCCCGACTTAGGGGCCAGGCTAGGGGTTAGGGTTAGGGCTAGCAGCTAGCAGTGTTAGGGTTGGTTAGTGGTTAGTCCTCAGGGATATTGAAAATGTTGTTGATGATGATTTGTAAGCTTTTGATGGTTAAGTTGGTTAGGTTGGTTAGGGTTAGCAAACATCCCAAAACACATAATAAGCATTGCCAAACAACCTTCAAAGACCTAGGTCAGCTTGCCTGCCCTAGGTCTGGGTCTTAGCAGGTTAGAGTTAGTCCCAAGTAGGGTAAGGCTAGCATGGTGTAGAGGTTATTGCTATTATGTCTGAAATTAAATGGTTATCAAATGGTTCTAGGTTCGAATCCTAGCACTGCTGTTCTTTCTCAGCATTTCCCAGATTTGTTTGGTTAGCATCTCACCAGGGTAATGTATTAATGACCATATTACTGGCAGTAATATTGTGGAAATAATGCAATACATCTTTCAGTATTTGCTGCATGTAATGCATTAATGGTATGTCTACATTGTTGATGCAGATGCAGTGAAAGCACTCAAAAAGGCCGCATTGGATGCAGAAAAGGCACTGGAAAAGGTAGGATTATATGCTGAGAAGGTGGCGAAAAAAGTGGTAGTGGAAGTGGAGAAGGCGATAAAGAAGGCAGAGGTGGGGGCTGAGAAGGAGAGGAAGAAGGTGGAGGCAGAGAGAAACAGTCAGGAGAAGGCTGTGGGGAGAACAGGGCACAAAGAGAAAAAGACCTGAAGAGATGCACCTGGACAATGACAACGAAAATATGCCCCCTCCTGGCTCCACATTCACTCCAGACACCACCAGCTGTGAAACGCCCCAGGCCCACTCCAAAAGCAGCATATCATGGAGCAGACATGAATAAAGCACCAGTCGGTCCAGTCCCCATTTTTTTTTGGTGCTAATTTGACCAACTATGTGCTGGTTATTGACCCAAGCCTGCAGTAAATAGTATCCCAGGGCAGCAGGAGGTTTTCCAGAGAACAAGCAGCCACAGAGAGGGAGAATGAGTCAAGAAGCATCCCAATGAGGAAGTCATGATCTGTTTCTAGCATTTTCACTGATTTCACCAATTTGATTGAAAAATAATAGCCAGAGCAGTGTCCCAAACCTCGATAATTACAAGTTCAGAACACATTTATTCACAGATCGACTCAGAATGTGCACACATGTCTATGAAAGGGAGCTATTCTTTGATTGTGCTCATGTTGTGGGTATTGTGAATGCCCTACACTTGGTCCAGGGGATGTTACAAGATACAATACACACAGCATCTACACCTCAAACAATATCTGCACTGTCCACATCCAGATACCATCTTACCGAATTTGGCATTTCTCACTAAGTTTGCGCTTCACACATCCTGTCCACTTCGTCTATATCTCTGCCTGTGACCAGCACGAACCCCAATGATACAATACATGACCCTTGCACCTGTCACATATCTCCTTCCCACCTTCACTGACCAGAACACATTGCACCATGCCTTAAGAATGACCCTTGCACCTGTCACATATCTCTTTCCTGCCTTCACCGGTCAGAACTTCATGTTCCCACCCTCAACATACCTCTCGTTGCACCATATTGCCTGGAGTATGACCCCTGCACCCATCACATATATCCTTCACTGTGGACGACCACCTTCGCTGGCCAGAATATCTCATTTTCCACTGGTGAATATACTGTTCACTGCCTCGTGTGGCACTTCCAGGGGTGAAATGCGAGGATCTCCAAGGCATGAGGCACAATGTGCCGGACTTTCTCAAAGTATAAAAGGGAGATGTTTGGGCAGTAGTCAGTAGTCAATAGCGGATTCACACACACTCTTGTAAAATCCTCACTCAATCTAATTGACCACACACACACACACATTTGTCCTTCAGACACTTCATCGCCCTCCCTCACCATTGTCTTGCCAGAGCTGGCACACACGCACACACACACACTCTGGCTTTATCGCCAGTAGACCTTCCTCCACAAGTCCCAGTACCCTGTAGAAGTGGGAATAATGATACAGCATTAGCAAAGCATCTACAGTGACCCTGGTTATGAGCAAGCATGAGCTACACACCAAACAAAGGACATAGTCGACGTCAAAGGATATATTCATGCTCCTGAAACCATGGTCAGAGCATCAAGGGGGACGCAGTAGAGGAACAATAGAAGAACCTTCAGATTAGGCAAGCAGCAGATTAGTAGAATTGCAGGCTCACACAAGTACTTTCTTTAAACCCCTCATTTGGTAACCTCGAACCTCGTGTTCGAACACACTATCTTTAAATGATAAACATGTCTTTCTTCTCCTATACCTCATGCTTGAATTTGACAATAAAAGCCCCTCAGAGGATGATCAAGCTGTTTGCAAGTGAAAATAACTCATTTTGCAGTACCGCAGTCTGCATCACAGCATGATCTGGTAGTGGGTCACATACAGTACTACATGAGAAACTCATAAGTACAAAGTTCCTGCCAGGCACTGCTGTCAGCACAGCGGCTCGTCGGGTTATTATACGACTGAGGCGATTGAACGACAATATAGGATTCGAGTTGTGGTCGGGTTAATGCGACGGGGGGAGCAACTGGAGGGTAGACAAGGATAGTATGAGGCACTGTCTAGGGTACAGGGCCTATATATACTAGACGATCGTAACTGCCAAGTAACGGAAAGGGGGTTTCCAGGGATAAATGAGACGGGTAGGGGTTGAGGGGAAACCGATCGTAGCAATACGATCGGGTTTTAAGGGTTAATGCGGAATAAATGAAATAACCCGGAATCATGACATTACCCCCCCTTTAAGGTGCAACGTCTCGGTGCGCGATAAACCCGGGTAGCGTTAGGCGGTACGGGTTGTAGGGACGCACCATCGTCCATCGCCGTTAAGGACCTCTCGCGGAGTGTTAGGGTACTTCTCATAGTACTCCTCGATTGCGTCCTCCGCGCCATCGAGATACGAACGAGGTTCCCAACTCCATTCCTCCCGGGGGTATCCTTGCCACTTGATGAAATACCGTAGTTCGCGTTTGTTCTTCTTGCTCTTGAATTCAATCTGGAGAACCTCTTTGACTTTGTATAGAACCTGTCCATCTTGGACATCAGGTGGCAGGGGTGGCACGGAATTTTGATGTGCGGCGACAGGGGCGATCCAAGGGCGTAGGAACACAGTGTTGAATACGGGTGCACCTTTCAACTCTTGGGGAGCTCTAGCTCATAGGATATGGCCCCGACCTTTTGCAGGACTTTAAAAGGTCCGTAACGGCGATCGTCGAACTTCTTCGTAGGTCGGTGGGTAACCAAGTTCCGTCCGGAAAGATAAACCCGGTCACCGGGTGTTGGAAACACTGCCTTCGGGCATCTCGGACAATCCGCCAGTACATACCTGTACTGTGTAGAACAGTGTAGAATATATTTATGACTCGGAATCTGACTCACAAGGCTGTCCACTCGTAGTATTTAAACAGCTGTATTTCATACTATGAATCTAACTTATTTTGCTTATCACTACTACCTGCGTGAAGTTGGACGCTCACCCCGTCCACACTACTTACTCAATCTACCTGCGCCAACAGGTTATGGGCCCCGAGCCTTTAACTTACTTCACGTAGATTTATTTGAGAACACTTTTATAACACTCAGCATACACCAGAGATTATTCTACGCCCTCTACTAGTCGTTTATCTCTACCCGTCAAATTTTACGAATCATGGCACCCGAATCAACATCCTCGCATCGAATTGAGCTGCTGAACGATGATAACTACCTTGCTTGGAAACGTCGTGTTATTGCAGTACTCCGTGACAAAGATCTACTAGAGTTTGTAGATGGAACAGAGGCGAAGCCCACTGCGAAAGACCCAGATGCCCCAACTGCTGACGAAATGAAGGCAATCAAGGCCTGGATTAAATCGGATGGCAAGGCACAAAGCCAGATTGAATTGGCTCTGGGTGATACCCAGATGGTGCATATCTCGGGCGCATTGACTGCCGCTGAAATGTGGAGTCAGATTCGGATGGTTAAGGAGTCCCAAGGAACATTGGGACGTATGTCCTACATGCGTAGACTATACCGCACAATTGCGGATGAAGGGACCGATATTCCGGAACACATCAAAGAAATGCGTATGATAAAGGATCATCTTATTGGCATGGGCGACGAGTTGAAGGACGAAGATTTTATCATTGCATTGATCACGTCTCTCCCAGAAAACTGGGATCAATTCACCTCTTCGCATATGGCCTCAAAGAACCTGAGTCAGAAGGTTGCTGCATTTGCACAATCTAGTAGCGGTAGTCCCTTGCCTGTCTCCATGCAGCCGCTCATGACTTCAATTGAATTAATTTCGTTGATTCTTGATGAAGACCGCCGCCACAAGGAGAAAGCTGTTGAATCTGCGGGAGGATCATCAGCAATGTTCTCGCGCAACAGGGATAATTCCCACCAGAATAGTTCCAACGAGACTTGCTTCAACTGTAAGAAGCCCGGCCACCACGCGAAGGATTGTTTCGCCAAAGGAGGTGGAAAGGAGGGCCAATATCCGAAGCATTGGAACAAGAAGTCCAAAGGAAAGGACAAGAAAGGTAAGCATGCAGCAAATGTTAGTGCTAACGAGTCCCAGAGTGATAATAGCCAGTTTGCGGGGAAATCCCACTTCGATCCGCGTCTCCCTCGAGACTCGTGGTTGGCTGATTCGGGATGCACAACTCACATTGCAAACAATCTCAATTTATTCCGGAATTATACGCCAATTGAAGGCGAGACAATCACAGGACTTGCGGACAATAAAGTGAAGGCACTGGGCAAAGGCACAGTGGTTCTTGAAAGCTCGAAAGATGGTCAGTTGATTACAACTACGCTCCAAGACACTTTGTACGCACCTGAGGCTGTCAACAACCTATTTTCGATCTCCCGCGTCGATGATGCGGGAGGTGGCGCAAATTTTGCGAATAAAAAGGTTGAAATTCGGGATAACAATGGTCATGTTGCTCTCCAGGGGGAGAAGAGATACCGGCTTTATTGGCTTGATGCGAAAGCAAAGCTTGAAGCTAACCAGGGGAATGTTGCGGACTCGAAGGGTTCGAATAAAGACATAAATTCCTGGGAGTCCTGGCATAAGCGCTACGGACATGTATCTAAATCAACATTAGAGTTGCTTGTCAGAAAGGGAAGTGTGGATGGACTCACAATTACTCCCGACAGCACACCACTTGGCCAGTGCGAGACTTGCATCAAGTCCAAGATGCATCGCAAACCTTTTCCGAAGAAATCCACCAACCGGTCCAACACCCGTGGCGAAGGCATTCACAGTGACCTCTGGGGTCCAGCCCAAACAAAATCAACCCAGGGAAATTACTAT